TTACAGCTTTGTGGTTGCTGCTTGCAACATCCGTGGTCTGAGCTGTGGTGCTCGGTGAGCTGCTCAGTTGCCTGTGGCTTGGGCAAAACCCTTATCACAGCTTTCCTGCATTCCTGGCAAATGGATCTCTTGCTCCTCTGCCCTCTCTTCATTAGGATTTGAAAATTGCCCAAGCCATAATAATATCCAGCCACTTCTCTGGCTGTTGCTTTTGGCAGCAGTGCAGAGCCCAGTGGTGGAATGGGAATCCTGTTGGATGGAAGCAGCTTGCAAAAACTTGGGACATTCTTCTCAGTGGATAAGTGGGCAGGGAAAAGGCAGGATGCATATGGGATGTTTGGTGGGCTGGTTGCTTCTCCAGTGCTACGTGCAGCACAATAATAGACAAACACACATCACCACTGCCAGCTTTACTCCCTGTCAAAGTGCCAGCCTTACCAATTCTGGTGCTCTGGATTGAGGTTAAATGTGTGTTGGATTGGAAGTTCAGACTCAAAAAACCTTGCAGTGCTGCAAAATCTTTCTTAAAACTTTGCCCACCAAAATAGCAGAATTACCTAAAAAAGGGCCTTGTGATCAGAACTTTGATCATCTGGAGCCAGATACCGGAAAAGAAGTCTTAGGAGATTGTCAACAATGTGGAGCGACTTTCCAGATTGAAAGGAAAAGCTGGATGTGGCCAACCCTCCACGTGCCCTCTGGAGTCCTGACAGGAAGTTCTCATTTTCCGCCCTTCATTTTCTGGAAGAGCAAACCTTGCTGCTGTGGGATGGAAGTGCCCCATCCATCCACCCTCAGGACATGTTCCCCTGCAGCTTGGAGTCACACCTGTATTCCTGCAGGTCCCCAAACCATTTAATTACTGAACCCCATGCAAACTGAGCGTTGCCATGGCGACCTGCAGCCCTAAGAGGAGGCTCTTTGTCTCTTCCTTGACCTTTCAGGAGATCTGTATCTTGCTCGAGCCCCCCTTCCATAATCCGGTTTTTAAAATATAATATTATGCTGCTGGAAGGGATCAGACCTTTAATCTGCTTGTGTGTGCATGTGTCAGTGCATGGCTGGGGGTGCTGCTTTAGGGCACCCTGCAGGGCCCAGGACCAGACAGGCACAGCACAGGGTGACTGCCCTGCTGGGGCTGCGGGTGAGCTCCCAAAATTACTGCACGCTGAGCTTCCCACCCACCAACACTCCCCAGGGCTGCTCCCACCCAGTCCATTCCCCACCCAGACTGTGTGTGTGCTTGGGAACGAGGGGCTGGGGACCAGTTAGTCCAAGGGAACAGGAGCAGGGGGTGTGGAGCCAGCGCTGGCGCTGATGGGGCAAAGCTGCTCCCCGTTCCTCCCAGCCGCGGGTGTTTGGGCTGCCCTGGGAGGAGCTCAGAGCTCAGCCTGCCTGCAGGAGGACAGCTTTTCAGCTTGCTGTTTTCCCTGGAGGATTTTTAGGGCACGTGGAGGAGGCAGGGCTGAGGTGGGTAGTTTGCCTGCTGTGGGTTGTGGTGTCAGGGATGGTGGTTTGGCCGAGCTGTTCCCTCAGGGCTGGGGGAAGGCAGAGCCTGGGCAGGACTGAGCTGAGGAGTTTGGGCAGGCTGGAGTTATAGCTGATGCTTCCAAGCTCCTGGTGTCCCAAAGCCTGTGGTGGTGCAGTGTCTTTTGTCCTGCTGGAACAGGACAAAATTTTAAGGCTGGGAATGCAGCTGCAGTGGATGTGCAAAAAGAGGTGATTTCTGAAAATTGCTGTTACCTGGGCAGAGCCCTCCTTCCTGGCTACATCACTGAGAGCTGGTGGAGTACTGGAAGAACTGAGACTCAATTAAAAGTTAAACTTTCACTCCCTTTATTAAATGGCATTGGTATGAAAGCAGTTCGTTGGACTTCGTGGAGGTTCAGGGAGGTCTCTTGTTAAAACTTTATGCAAGTTTACTCTGTTGTGCAGTCCTGGGTGAGGAGGAGGTGGCAGAGCTGTCAGCTGCAGAACCAAAGCTGGTGTTTTGTTCTGTTATGGTGGTAGAAGGTCCTGTGGGTTCGGCAGAGCCTCCTGGAAGTGTGTCCCTTGTTAGAGCCCACACAGTCCCTGCAGTCTGATTGCAGCTGTTGCCTTTGCTGGGGCAGTTTGGCCACCAGCGCTTTAAATAATGCTGAAATCCTTCACCTATGCAGAAAGATCCCAATTTTTCATTAAAAAAAAGTCTCTGGTTACCATTCATTCTCTTTTCCCCCTGCTAAGACTTGAGCCCCAGCTCTGTGCTTCCCCCTGAGCCAGGTGGAGAATGAGCCCAGAACACAAAGGCAGCCTCTGCTCCAAACCTCCAGGGCACCAGGGCAAAAGGAACAACTCCTGGGGACAGTTTGATGTGTTAAAAGCTGTCTCAGCCTGTTTGCTTTATCTTGAGACTTTCTTCCCTTTCCTCTCAATGTCACCTTGGTGTTCAGTTCGCCTTCTGCAGAGGTATTCCAGTGAAATCCTGTTTTCCTGGGATTCTGCCTAATTGTGTGGGCAGACTAAGAGGAGTTCAAAGCCTGTGGCTGTGCCTGTGAGCCCCGTGGTACCTGCTCCTGTGTGGAGTCACGGCTTGCTGATGCACCTTTCCACACCGTGACAATTTTCATTTTAAGAGCACGGAAAATCTCCTAAAAAACACAAGAATTTTGGGGAAGAGGAAGGATACCACGTCTAGTGTGGTAATGTGTTTCCTTCCACGTGTTTTTGTTTGCACTGGATATATCACAGCTTTCTGCACTCTTTTTGAGTTTTGGAGGGCCCAGTTCAGGAGCTGCTGTGCTCTCCTCCAGGAAGACAGGGTGGATAAAACAATTCCTCCTCGTAGCTGAACGTGTTTACAGTGCCGTGGGTTCGATTGGGATGCAAGACACCCTGCAAATGCAAAAGATGTAATTATCCCATTTTTCTCTTCCTACTCCCTGCCTCTCTCTCCCCCCCTGCACTCCTGGCTCCTCTCCCCCGCCCTTTCCCCAGCGTTGTGCTGATGGCAGCGTTTATCTGCATTTGTCCTCTGTCCCTGACGTCCAGTTATTGATTGGCATGATTAAAAAGAACTGATAATCACTTCACATTAATCCCATAAATGACTTAAGACACCAAAATATTTGCATAATGCATCTTAAAAGGTGGCAGCTAAAAGAGGATAAGACCCAAAAACTGCTTGGCACAGGAGAAATGGGCTTCCCACTCACCTGTGGGCTTGCTTAAGTAATTAGCCTTCTTCTGCTTGCATAAGGAAGAATCTGAACTGGTTTAGCGGAGGAAGATGCAACGGGTGCTCAAAGGCTTTGGGATCTGAGCATCCCTTCTCCCAGCTGAGCCTGGGGGTGGGAGGGGGATGGGGGGTGGGGAGCAGCGGGAATGTGGCAGCGGCTGCCGGAGCGAGCGAGCGCGCGGGGCTGTTTTTGTCTGCAGCATCCTGTGAAAATCTGGAGCCAGACGCCCGCTGAAAGTACCTCTGTCTAAAGACTTTCTGCCATAAACTTATCTGATTAGCAGGGAGCTAGACGACAGATTAGCCCCTGCTCTCCAGGCAGCAGGGATGGGCTCCCGGGAGCGCATCCGCTCCCGGCGCTGGGAGCCTGGAGGTGGGGGAGCAGCAGGTGGGGAGGAGGTGGATGAGGAGGGGGGGGTGGTGGGGTGGTGGTGGATAAGAGGGGGATATTTAAAGGAAGATCATTGCTAGGTAATTCTGCAGATAATGCACCCTCCGTGCTGCCCTGCTGGTCCCAGGTGAGGACACTCTCTGCCACCAGTGCGTTGGTGTCATGTGCTGCGTGTCACAGCAGCACAGAGTGGGTGCACTTGGCATGTGAGTAGAGGCTGGGAGGGAGCTGTGGCTGTGGGATTGGTGGGGGGGGGGAGGGAAGGGGGGGCAATATTGCTAATATGTGTATTTTTTTTATAAGTGTCTCTGGTTCTTCTGGCTGTCGTCTTCCATTTAGAGGGAGGGGAGGAAGAAAAATAGCCACCTTTAGCTCGGGGCAAGCACCTTGTGCTGGAAGGATGGGGAGGGGTTTGTCATATTCTGCAAACAAACAAACAAAAGGGAAACGTTCCAGCATTGCCAGTTAGTGTCGTGTTTTACCTTGTTCTTCCTCCTCACTGTTTGTATATCGTTCATTCAGAAATATTTTGCAAGTGGACAGCGCTTTGCAAGCCAAAAGCATTTGCCACTGAAATGCACTGTCTGCTACAGTGAATGCTTTTTGTGTTCTCCCTCTCCATAGAAGAGAAAGAAATAGAAGAAAAAAAAAAAAAAAGACCAAACTAGCCTACTTAGCAGCGATCTAATGTGAGGATAACAGGCAAAATAATGCTGAATTGCTCTAAAACATTCTCCTTTCCTAGAAGGAAGAGCATTGTTTCAGGATCTGTTAGAGGGAAGAGTTGAGAATTAGTTTTGTAAATAAATCTTTACCCTCAGCTCTGAGTAATGCTGATGTCCGGGCTCGTGGTGGGTTTCTCTCTAAAGAGAAAAACTATTATTCAATCAAATCAGTCTTTTGTTCCAACAGTGATGATGGAATGGAAAAACTTAGTTTTTTTGAGAATAGGAGGGTGGCAACTGATAGAAAACTATCAGTTATTTTCAGTTCAAGTTTCCTATTAATTCTGGAACAGACCTGCCAATTCCTGCACTTTTCAGTTTTTCCATCCTAGATGTAAGTCCTGGCCCACGCAAGTTATATCTGGCAAAACTGAAATCAGGAGCTCTGGCAGCTGCGGAGTCCTTTATGGGAAATGAGAGTGCTGGCTGGGAAGGGGACTTTTTGCACTTCTCTCCCCAAAACTAGAGGAGGTTACCAAGGGACCCTGTGGGTGGGAGGGGGGAGAGGCTTTCTTGGAATACAGCGTGGCAGGGTCAGACAAAAGGCTCCTGCCTGTGCACACACACACACGCACACACACAGAGATGCTCACACACACACAGAGGAATCAATTATGTGGTGGCAAATAGGATTTCCTTAACTTGGTGCTTTTCTGCTCTGTTGCAGCCGCGATAACGACCTTTCCACTATCATCTCCAACCTGCACCAGAGCCGCCAGCTCGTTATGCCAGAGACCCAGAGCCGCTGTGAATTCAAGAGAAACAGCATCGAGGTTGGCCTGGGAGCAGCAGGTAAGGAGCTGGAGCAGGTCCTGCTGCTCTGGGTTTGTTGAGTCCCCTCCTCTCCCTTCGTTTTTCAGCGGCTGGTTCCTTTGTGTTACACCCCGTGAGTGAGCTCTAGGAAGGGGTTTTTCATGTTCTGGCTGAAGATTAGCATGGAAAGGATTTCGTGGCGATGGTGAAGCCCTTCTGAGATCCCAGCCCTGTGTGTTATTCCCAGATCTAGTGGTCTGTGTTAAAGTACTGGCAGAGGAGCTTGCGCCAGCAGAGGAGTGAAATGTCCCCAGGGTTGGTGCCAAGTGAAGCAGAAAGGCCTTGCAGAGAGCATGATTTGATTTGTAATTTCATTAATCAGAGGTTCCCCGTGCTGCTGCTGTGCCTGCCAGCTCCTTTGGGAGTGTGGTGGCTTGGTTTTGTAGCCCTGCCTGGCTTTTTTTGGGGCAGTTCGCCTGGTTTCAGGTTAGGGTGGTGACACCAGAAATGCTCCTCTTGGATCCTGCGCTGTGCCCCTCTGGATGGCAGTGAGGGAGTGTGGGCAAGGATGCTCTGCTGACAGTTGTTCATCAGTCAGCAAGCGAGGCTCTGTAATAAACTGGAGATCTGTTGATTGCAGGATCTTGAATTTGTCTTTGATTATAAACAAATGTCAAGGAAAAACTGAGATTTATGTTAGTTTTTATATTGACTGATTGGTGTCCTTCCATATCAGAGCTGAATCTCTGCGTGTGTGTTAATACAGACCTTTCCTGAAAACCTGTTTGTGGATTTGTTCAAGGGGTTTTTTGTTAGCCAAGCTGACTGTGTATGATTTGTGATATGTCTCTAGAGCAGCCACGGGCAGCTCCCAGTCTTTGCTTTCACATCTTAATCTTCATATTCTCATCATTAACAGATTTCCTTAACAGCCCCTTTTCCTGCACAGCTCCAAGAGCTCCAGACTGGCCAGAGATACATTTTCCTGTATGACCTTGCTTGAGTCTGTATGTCTGTGTGTCAAAATGGTTTTTAATATTGTTTGCTTTACAGGGAAACTGCTGGGCTTGATCAGTGTTGTTGGGATTCTTTGAGATCCGTGGCATTCCTGAAGTGCAGAAGGGTTCTCCTCATTCCTATCAGTGCTAGGCAGTGGAAAGGATGAGGTGTAGAAGCCCTCATTCTTATTTGCTAGAGTTGATGCTGGAGGTTCTCTGGTTAGTTTTTTAACCTTAAGAAGCAGTAAGAAGTGGCCTCAAGCTCTGCCAGGGGAGATTTAGATTCGATATTAGGAAAAAAATTCATCATGGAAAGGGTTGTAAAGCACTGGAACAGGCTGGCCAGGGCACTGGTGGAGTCACCATCCCTGGAAGTGTTCAAAAAAACCCCTTGGATGTGGCACCTGGGGACGTGCTTTGGTGGTGAAACAGGGTGGTGGTGGGTTGATGGTTGGGCCTGATGATCCTGGAGGGCTTTTCCAACCTTGGTGATTCTGTGAAGGAATTCATAGCACAGCTCAAGCATCCAAGGAATGTTTGAGCAGTGAAAGAGAAGAGGCTCATCCACACAAGAGGCCACCAGGCAAGTGACAAAGCTCTTCAGGACGTGACAGATCTGGCGTGTCCAACAAGAGCTGATCTGCAAAAGGGCGAGATGGGGGGATGGTGGGGATATTGTCACATGTCCCCAGGGACAGTTTAACTCTGATTTCTACCCCCCCTTTCTGGAGCCAGCTCTCTCTCTCCATGCCAGATTGATTAAGGGAGGGCTCATTTGCCAAAGTCTCTGCAGGAGCTGCCAGCTCTGAGTGCAGAGCTGGTCCCTGTGTCACCTCCCAGGCACACAGGTCAGGGGAACGGACACAGAACGTGCTGGGGTTTGATGCCCATTGTTGGGTTTGTGTCTTGGTTCTGTTTGTTTCTGCTGGCAGGGAGAAAACAACCAATTGCTGCGTACAGAATGTGAAGAGAGGCAGGGCTGGGTTAATCTGAAGGGCTGGTTGTTGTTTAAACCACTTAGTTACAACAATAAGGGGAAAAAGAACCTTGCCCCCAGTTGTCTGCTGTTTGCATTGTGTGCCCCTGAGAACAATACTGTGTGTTTGGGTTATGAGAATCTTCCCCCTCCAAAAAGGCATCTGGAGATAAACAATGCTGAATAAATGATGTTAATGCCATCGTGTTCCTGCATCACTCGTGCCCATCAGCTGCAGTGCTCTCAGAGGCACTGGGGGATCTGCTGCTAAAATGGTTTCTGATGCTGGTTTTATGGTTTGGAGTTGGCACATGGTGCCAGTCAGGGGAGGTGGAGGATCCAGAGGCTGCTCTGCTGCTCCAGCCCCCATGAGCTGCTGGAACAGGATTCACCAGTCTCTGTTCCTTCTTGACTATGGCTGACTGGAACATCTAAGACCTTTGGTTGGAAGAGCAGCACTGATTAATATCCTGGGAAGGCTTATGGATAACTTATAAGTGAAAACAGGTCACTCGATGTCAATGGTGATGGTTATATTTGGGAGCAGAGAGACTGAAGGGATTAGTTTGGGACAGCAGAAACCGCTTCAGGTGGAGGTTCTCAGTGAGCGCTGGGCTGGCTGGGGTGGCTGAGCCTTTTGCAAGGACAGCAGAAGTTGGTGGCCAGAGGTGTGTGCTGATAAAACCTAATTGCCCTATTGATTGGCTTTGGAGCCACTGTCAGTGGGGAGTGATTGAGATATTTGTCTGTGTGTGTGTGTGATGTGTGTGGGCTCTGTCTCGCTGTTCCAGGGCCACTGGGGACCCTCTCAATCTTTGAAGCAAACCTGTATGTGCTGGGCCTGCTCTGCAGCACCACAGATCTATTACTACAATTACCACCGAGGCACTTGGATTTGCTCAGGTCCCAGGGGGATATCCTGGGTTTTGGGAAGAGCTGCCCTGTTTGTAACTTGGAGAAATCCATCTCACTGGTTTGGGATTTTACCCATCTGCACCCTCTCACACTGTTCTTGCTTCTCATCTGGGTTGACTGGTGACATCGTCATGCCCTCAGACTTTTTAAGAATAGTGTATTTCTGCTTTCTCTACCTCTCTCTGTACCTGAGAGTCGAGGTGCTTGTGCTTGCAAAATAGAGAGTTCTGGCCTCTGTAGTTCCTGGGTAAATGCCTGTCCTCCAAATGGTTGTGCAGGTTTCAGGAGTGCAAGTGTTGGTTGTTTCCAGCACAGATTGGCAGAGCAGTAAGTTCTTGTGGAGGTTCAGAGAGTGGAGTGTGAGGGAAGGACCTCTCTGCCATGTCCAGGGAAGAGAGACGAGCAAAGCCACTTAGGTGCTGACGAGTCTGCAGGGCCGCAGTCGTGGGGAACACACATAGAACCTACCCGGAAAAATAAGCTCCAGTGATTCCCAAAGCTCCCAGGATGTGAATGGTCTCTCCTCATTTGACCCTGCAGGTTGATTTCTCTGCAGTGCCCTCCTCCTGAGCTGGTGCTGTGGGGTGGGAAAGGCTGGAGGTGCTTTCCTCGGTGCTGATTATATTGCACGTCACGGTGGGGACGCGTAACCTGCCAAGGGGAGGAAGAGAGGGAAAAGTACATGTGATGGGGTTTGTGCTTCCTCAGGAACAGGCAGAGGCAGCTGCATGGGTGAGATTTGGTAAGAGGCTTAAGAACATCTGCAAAGGTAGAGAAGTGTTGTTCCAGTGCCTCGGGGGGGAGCAGGCACGTGGGAGGGGAGGGAGGGCAGGCAGGAGCCTAATGGGAGTATAAAAGTCGCTTCCAAAAGGATGAGATAAAGGCAAGGCAGCAGCCAGGGCACAGCACTGGCACTGCACAGGGGTTTACCTTGAGAGGGGATGATGGCACAAGGAGCTTTAATCTTAATTGAGAGATACACACACACACACACACACACACACAAGGATGAGCAGAGCCAGGGCTGCCTGACAGAGGCACGGCAGCAAAGCTGACGGTTTGCACATCAAACAGGGATTTAGAACCCCTCTAAGCAGCTCGTGGTGTGGCTGTAAACAAGTCCAATCCCCTCTATCCAGTTTGGCTAATGCAGTCTGCCGGGGCCTGCGTGGGGTGGGGGGAGGATGGAGGAGCCTCGTGGGGCTCTGTGGTTCACAGAGACAGCACAGGTGCCTTCCCCACACTGTATGTGTGTGTGTGTGATCTCACACTGCTTTAGGGCTTGAACAAGCATCTTTTGCAACAGAGTCCTAGTCCCAAGGCTCTGAGTAATTCCTCTCCTGAAAAAAAAAAAAAAAATCCTGTTAATTTGTCCTCTTTCTCTCCTCAAATACCCTCTGTTCTGCAGCGCCACATTTCATGGCTTTCCAGTTGCAGTAGGACTATTTGCATGGATAGAAGTGGAGGAATGAGGCTCACTGATGCTAGAGGAAGGTGGGTAGATCTTCCCTCTCTTCCCTCTGCCCCTCGTGACTGGAGGGAGTGGGCTTGGTGTGAATATTGTCTGAGAGGGCACGTAGAGGAGACGTGGCAGTGTCAGGTCTCGCTCCAAACAGCCAGCAGATCACTGTGGTTCTGCAGGTAATATTTGGGGCTGCTCACGGATTCAGGACCCCTTCCCCACTGATTAGAGGCTTCCTTGGCTGTGGTGTGGGAAGCAGCAAAAAGGCCAGCTTTCCAGCAGTGCAGAGCTCCCAGAGAGCTTGGGCTTTTTCTAGGGGTTATTGGTTCAACCTGAAGGAAGTGACAAACCCTGAGAGCCTTGGCCTCAGAGCAGGGGTGTCCTCAAGTGTTTAACTGCGGTGATTCCTGTGGAAATCCCACATGACAGGGGGGAACGTGACACCTGTGTCCCTTGAGGAGTCCCACTTTAGGAGTCCTGCTCCACTGGAGGCCATGCATGGTGCTTTTGCAGTCCTGGAAAAGCGATGTTTTGATCCACACATCTCAGAAACGTCACGAAAGAGATTTCTCCCTTCTCCCTCTGTGAGGTTATTTGTTCTGTATCAACCCTCCTGTCTCATCTTTCCACTTGGTGCTCCGTTGAGTAAGCAAGAGAGAAGAAGAAATTTTGGAGGAGCGACCAGCAG